CGAAGATGTAGGAATCTTCTCTTCTTGAGCCTTTATTTCTGGCAAACGTTTTTGAAATCCGTCCTTCCTCCATTGGCTTATGTAAGTAAATTGATTCTGAGGTTATTCGAGGTAACTTCGTACCTATTTGTGTATTGGCCGAACGAACACTTTTTGATATGCCTCAATTATGCTTGCTCGTACTTCTTTCAGTAGGATTCACCACTGAAACGGCCTCGGATAAAAGCCGTTTGTGTTGGAGCAGCATTGCTGATCCATTCACACGCAACTATATATGCTAAAATGTTCAAAAGCCGCAGGATTTAAATTCAGGCATCTTTTGAACAACAGTTACTACTCTGAAACACACGTCGTTGTCAGCAACCATGTAACCAGTGAAGCCACAGTCAATTTTCACCAGTCAACACCGAAACGCCTATCACCTCCCGGATCAGTAATGTTTCATACGAACAGCCAAACCTAAAAAGCCAATGGGAGTTGGGTTTCGAGCATCTTTCGTATAAAGTGAGTTTTGTACGAATATTTACCTTTTATACCAAATGCATTTCAATAGGTTATATTTTTCAATTCAATGTTATTAAGAAACGTGGCTACAAAGGTTTATAAGTAAACCTGAGAGTTGTGAACAAAAAATATACAAGGTGATCAATAGCGTGAGAATGGACTAAAACGGAATACAACATAAAGGACATGTGCAAAATTACAAACATTGGCGGAAGTCTATATTCTTTTGAACCATTTTATATTGTTTCAAGGTGCCGAAAGACTATTGAGAGCCACTTTTGTTTTCAAGGACACTGCTGATGATTAGGTTTATTCTTATACAAAATAGAGCCGGCAAAACTCGCTTGGCTAAATGGTATATGAATCTTGATGATGAGGAGAAACAAAAATTAATTGAAGAAGTTCATGCTTTAGTCACTGTACGAGATGCCAAGCATACTAACTTTGTTGAATTTCGAAATTTCAAGATAGTTTATCGTCGTTATGCTGGCTTGTACTTTTGTATGTGTATAGACCTAATGGACAATAGTCTCGCATACCTAGAAGCGATCCATAATTTTGTAGAAGTCTTGAACGAACTGTTTCACAATGTTTGTGAATTGGACCTCGTCTTCAACTTCTATAAAGTTTACAGCGTTGTTGATGAAATGTTTCTGGCCGGAGAAATCCGTGAGACAAGTCAAACCAAAGTTTTAAAGCAGGTCATTATGTACTCTGCTTTGGAGTAACGTCATGATGTTTTTTCTTTAGGAAAAGCTCACTGCAGAACACAGGTGTGATACATCAGCCCTCAGTTACTGTTTTGTTTCTGTCTTGCACATTCATTTAATTATGTAGCTAATCTTTATTTTATCCGTCACTTCTCAGAGGTTACTCTGGAATTATATCCAACTTGTTGATTTATTTGCTTTTTTACTTTTTTGTGTATTATTTCAATCAAAACTTACTCAATAATGCATGTTATGTGAACATTGTTGTCATATTCTTATTATGGTATCAGTGTACGTAAATTGATTCATCAGATATTGATGATATCTTTCAATATTAATAAGTACAAAGTAACTAACTAACTGTTTCACCATTTTTTCATGAAACCAATTCCTAATAGTTATTTGAAAGCAACTGTGTACACGAAGTGTACAAACTTTTTTCCTATGACAATCTGAACCCATTTTGAAACTCGTGTTTCTAGTCCCGCATTTGTTTAGCGACCGATGCAATTATATATATACGAAAAACTTAGTGCTCTAAATTATATTTCTTTATTTAATAGACACAAATAAAGTACTCAGGGATTGTCCTGAAAACTTGGTTCTATTTTACAATCGTTTCATCTTCGTAAAATAGGTTTGTCAGAATTAGGAATTGAAGATTCATTTGTTAAGAACAAGATATGCTTTCAGAAGGGTACTCGGGATTCACTTCAACTAAGCCCAAAGTAACAAAACCAATAAGCCTTAGAGATGCTTACAAAAAGAAATTCTTTTTCAGCGAAATGGTTGACACAGTTATATGTTTTCCTTACATATAATGGTAGCAAGATGTTTCCTTCACCCTTCTGTTTCAGACGATGTTCTTTCATTGTACCAAGAACTCTGGGTTAGAGAACGTTGACCGTTTAAACTTGTGAGTTTAGGTATTTCAGAAATTTTAAGGAGGAATACCGAATCCACTACGTCTCATTTGTTAGTTAACCATACTACATTAATAGACCGCTCAGTATGAACATGGCGGAAATAAAAACACCGGTTTATATCTGTTTATTCTTATTACATATATCACGGATGATTTGGACTCCTAATCACAGTTGTCAAACACTCACATAAACATTGCTCAATTCGGGAAACTGAAAGGTTATAAAGATGTTTTGTAGGCGTCTGGTGAATAAGTGATTGCAATGGCTTGTTGAAATTTTTCCTGACAGTAGTCCTTTTTACTAAGAGCAGTTTAAAACACTGAGGCACATGGCTTAGGAATTCTGTCATAAATCAACAACGGTCATGTATAGGTCGATATTATCCATTATAGCAGCGAACCACTGGTCATTTCTTAGTCTACGAAAGTGGTCTGGTCGGGTATTGGATTGAAACAAGTGAATGCACCTCGAGGGTTCCAAGAAATGAAGGACTATGGTATCTTTTGTTTACATAATGTGTAAACCGGGGAAACCTGTTTTTTTGGGTCCACTGTATATAGACTCATTGAATGCTTATCTGTTAACAACCCAGTCTGTTATCAAATTGCGCCAGTGGTTCACATGCTATACTAAGCTTCATTTGAACTAACGAGTGGATGCGACTTTATGGTTGACCCTAAGTGAAGTCAGCTGTAATGTAAACCTTGATGGTTGCGAGCAGTGATAGAAAAGCATCAGCTGTTTAGATGCACATAAACTGCCGTATACATAAAAAATATCCCAGAGAAAGATGAGTCTACAGTTGGTTTTCAAGGTAGGTAGTTGACAAGACAATAAGTAATACCCACAGTTGTTAACTGCTTCTTACGCTCATATAGCCGAGATCTGGATGTAGTGTCAACACCAGCTTCCGAAATTCCGCCCTAATGGTAATCGACCTTGAATGAAGCGGATACAAGTTTTGACGAAACACTGACCAAGGTATCAGATAGTCTATAAAGTCTCAGGCTAACTTCGTAAAGAAGCGATACTTTTGTGACGAACATAGATTAATTAACTTAAATAACAGCTTTAAGAGTCTGTACAGACATCATACCGAACCGGAGTTTGAAAACAACGGAATTGGCCACTTCCTGTGGTTGCGTTGATAATCCTCATATTCTTCGAAGTTTGAAAGCCACTTGCCCTACGACTGGTTGGAAGTTTTATTTCTTACAGGCAAGTATCAAGCGAATGTTTTTAAGGCCAGGCAACAATTACTTTTGTACGGCATGTTGTAAGCATACACGGGCCACAAGAGGTTAGATTGTGTCATTCCGAACCACCATCTACTTGAATGTTTGATGCAAGGGTAAAAAAGGACAGTATAAACTCATGTCAATGGCTTTTAGTGAAAAAGTGTATACTTATACTGGATCTTGTGAAATATGCGGAATCTCTTCTTGAGGGCTAAGCAATGTTTCAAAGTTACCAGCAATACCTTACTTGTTTTCTCCTAGGATACATTCCAATACTTCATCCTTGGTTTGTTTCTGCTATTCTCTGTAGTGGAAAACCAAGCGACTATGATATAAGACTACTATCTGCCATATATACGACTGATATCACCTTGAATTTGAAATCCTATCTGCAGTTTGAAACAACTGGCCACGACTATGGGATTTCGAACATCTACAACGTAGAATCAGTTCATTCGAATATAGCTTCAGGCAGTTCGTAGGACGGAAACCATTTCTGGTACTAGACTTACCTAAAGGTAATAATATTAGGCAGTAATTCAGTGTTATACTAGTAGGGAATTTGTTCAAACGGTAAAATACTCCCAAACCGCACAACTACCTGAGACGTTAGGGGCCGTTACTTCATGTAATTTAAGATTATCCATCTTTGGAAATACCAATCCTGAGTATCCGCTAAAAACTTATAATATCTACAGCCCTTGCAATGTTTACACATGAAATCGGAATCCTAGTTACGTGATGTGAAATTTTAAATGAATCATATCTCCTTAGTCTTCTACCCATTAAAATATCGAACAAATCAGGTAGCTAGATACTAAAATCAATGGATGCATTTCACCAGTTAAGAGTGTCGGTCAAAACTAGCGTGAACTCAATCAGAACGGAAAAATTGATTCGTATCCCTATTAGTCTCTCAGGACAATATAAATAGTAAAGTAGTTCACTGAGTCAACTTTATATATTTGGATATGAGTCACGTTTTAAGCATGAGAGGCAATGATAAAGTCTAGTGCTGAAACCAAGGTAGATGGGGTGAGGTCTGAACCTTCTACCTGGATATTGAAAGTCAAATACTTTGACCAATTAGCCGCAATTCTACTGCTCCAAACTATGAGCAGACAATTATAGGAATGACAGTGCCATGCATCATTAAATAACTACAAAATAAGGTAATTCCCAAAGAAAACTATTGAGTCTTATACCATAAATAAATAATTTGACAATACGTATATAGATGCTTCCATTATTAGATAAATGAAAAACAACGAAATTAACTTGACAACAGTATAAATGCATTTTTATGGATAACACTGATGATTATAATACCTAAGTGATATCTCATAGAAAAAATGTACGACCCGAACCAGCGGGACAATTAAAATGAGGAAATAATTTGGCAAGTTAAAGAGCAAATATATGTCGTCGCATTATGGACACAGTTAAAATTCAAAGGAAGAAAAATCACAAATGAAAATAAGTGAACAGAAAATATCCTTATATTTAGGTCCTACGATTAGGAAGTATCACATTAAAATAGTATTAGGTATACAAATAAACATATTTCTTGTTATGATATATATATAGGATATGGAAGTTCGTACAACCCTAATATTGGTGTATCACATATTGAGACAAACACAACCGAAGATAGCTCGAGGGACTGTTGTATTTAGAACTTTAATGCAGGACCTGTAGTAAATAAATTAATAAAAAAAACACTAGTCAGTAATTCAGTAACAACGAAATATAGCATTATGTTAACTAAACAAAACATACCATGTGTTCGTCGTCGGATCATAACAGTGGACATCATCTCGTGGAACAGTAGGACGTCGATCATCACCAACAAACTCACTAAATCCTCCAACCACATATAAATGCTCTCCGACCCACGATAACCCAGCATATATCCGCGCTTCGTTTGGAGATGAAGTGGAGGAAGAAACCAAGGGAGCTAGTGAGCGTAGTGTGTGACGACGAAGATCCAAAACTGACAATTCACTTGTTGATTCCCAAAATATATACACCAGGTTGGTATCCTAAGAAAAAATAGGCGACGTATATGTGGGGAAAGTGATCACGAATCATCATTAAGACAGACTATACAACATTAAATTGTTTATAAAAATGGGGGTTCCAGCAATATTTACGACTTTTGTAGAGCTATAAAACACAAGATTGTTACTAAATTCATTTTTTATTTAATCACTGGACAGATAAGCATTAACTTAATTACTAGGTGCGGATTTATTACTCGTATTTGAGAAACACTGTAGGCATAAGTTATAGTGATGCAATACCACAATCTGAAGTAAATAAAAAAATGACTTAAACCTGCTACCTAACAGTTACAAATGGAGTTCATTAACTACTAAGTGAACGTCCTATCACTGCACAAATATATACAGAAAGTGTCATAAGGAGAAAATATTCAGGGATCGAAATTATGACTTATTTTAACCAAATTTCAGACACACCTGATGACCGTTGTGAAGATCCAATTGTTTACTCTGACTGAATAAGAACCAGTTAGCAAATAAGTTATAGAATGGCTAAACAAGAAAACGTTTATAAACACACTGATTTTAGCAAAAGCGATACTTTATATCCCTTCATCAAACACATTATATCTCTGATATACGTTGGATTCACTACAGTATACGGTTTAGCGACTTTATTAATCCACTAGTTTTTAATAAATTTAGAGGGTTATAAAAACAAACGGCTTCTTTTTTAGTCACAATGAGGAGTTAATGTAGTTGTGACAAAGAAAAAGCCAGCTCGCTTTACAAATAAAGTAAGGAGAATATAGTAGTTCGAAATTTCGATTTTATCAATAAGGATAATAACCAGAAAGTGTTATATGAACATGAATAAATCTCTAGTTAAACCCTAATTTACAAACCTAAATATAGGAAACACCAAAGGTATAAAGTGTAATATATTCGGAAACGTCCAAAAACTTAAAATACTATTGTTGATGACAAAAAATGTTAAAACTCAAACATTAAGTAAAAGTTACTAAACTTGATATTAACATAGATGTTAATAAGATAGAGATTGAATAAAGACAAAGATGCTATGATGGTTGAGGGTAGGTAGGAGAAAGCTCGTCTTAGTTTCTACCTATCTACTAGACATGTCTGCAATTATCCCGTAGGGTTCGAACCACATTCATCCAGTTTCATATGCAGAGATGTTGCCATTAAAAAACTCATTCAACATTAATGACTAGGTAACATGAAACTGGCTATCAATTGGTGAAAGATACTATGGACAAAAGTTAAAAGGAAGAAAATTTTAAAAAGTATCGGAAAAGCGAGATGTTCTTCACTTTCTATTAGTAAATGGTCGTATTCTTGTCACTAAAGTCATGTAAAATGAAGTTGTTAAACATTAATCTTAACTTTCTCATAGACTTCAATAGACAAGAGTGAAATTTGTTTCCATGGCTCAGATTAAGAAAAAAACTCTAAAGATTAATTGAAGAGATGCAAACATCGTGACTAACTAGTTATAATTGAATATTTTATCCGGACGAAATGAACGAGTTTTGTGAACCAGAAAAATTGCATGTCACGATAAAGTTGGAATTATTGTTTATCCACAAACTACTCATATACGAAAAAAAGAAAGTTAACAACCAACTTACTTGATGCACACAACAGTTCACATAGCGAACTTGTTGTGGGAGTTTTATGTAATCCGCGGTGCAAAATACTGTATAATCAGGACGTAAACGATAAAAAGCAACCTGATCCGTACCATGTGGTTGTGTTTCAGTTATTCCACCGATTTCAACAAAAACACGTTCAAAATTTACATTCATAGAATTATTTCTTCGACGGGTTTTATTGGTTTGATTAGTACCATTACTGTTGTTGGTAATATTATTTTCTGAAACTGATGTGTTATCTAATATTATAAGAAATCGGAATAACTACTAAATAAACTGTTAAAATGGAATTGAACACTATTAACATATGGAAAAATATATTCCCAAACCTAAACACTGATGCCATTAGCCTACAATTATGAAGATATATTGAACATATCGTTTATCGAATTCTTTTCGCCACTACAAACACATAAATAATGGTATCACTTTTCTACTTTATTTCCTAAAAATGCTGACATTCAGATTCAATAACTTATTTCACAATGAATACGGTAACCACATCATATACGGAATGCACCTTGATGATACTAACCGACTATTGTTCTAAAAATATGAATTTAAACTTACACTTTGTATTGTTCATATAAACAAACAATGATACACGAGTTCATACACTACGGTATTAACCAGTTTTCAAACTTATGATATAACGGGTAAAGATCCATTCCCTAAACAATGACTTATACCCCATCTGTCATATATGCATGTAATACATGTAAGTAAAAAAGATCGTAAACGAATGAAACTACAGTGGCTTATGTAACTAGAGATCCTTAACTATAATATCACATACGATTAGGCTTTAATAAGATCATCAGATTTGCTTTCACTGTAAACAGATCTCTATATATAGCATTTTGTTTTAAATTTTGAAGTCATCTAATTTAGTCTAGAATGTAGCAACACATCGAAAATCGAACCGTTTCATCGAATTCCTGTATTTTTGTTACCATTGTTCACTGTAGACACCAACTGATACAACTATGTAATAACATAGAGACCAGTGTATTTTAAAACACATGAAACGTCTTCTTGGATGATGATAAATTTGTAGAACACTATCTACAAAAAAAGCCACTTCATTCTTATCCATTGACTTGACCTACAATCATTTAAGTGCTTTGTGGTCACCACAATAATAATAATGGTAACAAAAACAACATTGGTCACTTTCTGTTTTTAGTTATTCTAACTTCAGTTCTGGATCATTCCTCCTCTCCATTTTATGTTTAACCAAATGGAACTACATTAGGCCAGTCAGTCAGCTACAACGTAGGACCAGGCACATATGTGCATCGGTCCAGGTTGCCATACCTCATTAGCACAGCAAGATGAACAGCGGATTCATAGGAGTGGTTAGGTCAAAGGTTGCAATAAGGATATAGTATAGGAAGAAAGAATTAGTTCGTAGACAGAAAGAATGAAGTGATTTTAGTCTCTTAGTTTAAAAGAAGACAGGGAGTGTATACACCGACACCATTGTGATCGATTCTGAGCCATGTCACCAAGAGTCTCCAACCATTGGTTACGAAAGTCACGCGGACCCCAACCAAGTAGTCTGCATCTACCAACATGGCTCAGACTAGAAGTTAGTGACTTCAAGCACTGATGCCATGTTTTGGTTTGGCCGCCCCTAACTTTCTTCCAATCATCTCCAATACCGGATAGCATTGCACGTCGTGGTAGTCGGTGTTCAGGCATACGTAACACGTGGCCCAACCATCTCAGTCGATGAAGATTCATAACCTCATCAACTGATTTACCATCATTCCCTAATACCCTGCGTCTAACCTCACTATTACTTACCCGGTGATCCCAGCAGACGCCAGCAATATTTCTAAGGCATCTGTGGTCAAATACTAGTAACTTACGAGTATCTTTCACCCTTAATGGCCAGTGTTACTGCCGGATCAAATTGATCATCTGCTGACTTAGCATATACATATGTATATGGAACATTCCACATTAGGAGTAGTGAAATGAAGTCATTTTCCAGACTAACGATTGGACTTATGGAACAGAAACTACGGTGAGCGTTATGAAACAGTATACCTAAGCAGTCAAACACTGAAAGGCAAGAGACCAGGTTCACATAAAATAATTTAGATTTGCAGGCTGAATATCTTGCGCGACATTCTTAGTGAAGTAGAGATGGATAGAGAAGTGTGATTGAACCAATCACTCATTGAAGAAATCAGATGATGGTTGTACAATATTGGGAATTCAGTGATTCTGTTAACGAATATTCAGTAATCTAAGTATATCGTGCTTGAAGGTTTTGAGTTCGATATTGTGTGTAGTCATGAGGGTGTAATCCAGATGAGTTAGTACGAAACATCTCACTACACCAAGTATTTCATTTGGTATTAGTCTATGGAAAAAATACACTTAAAATGAACCAATTTCCAAATTTTTATTTCAAGACCATAAACTATTTGACAAACCAGTTGTTACTGAGATTTGGAAATCTATAAATATGTTGGTTACAAATGTTACATAAGAAAGTATCTATAATAAAATTTCCAGAACTATAAGATATATCTGAACAAGTTTTTGAAATAAACTTAACCAAGAACAGAATCCACATTCGTTGTACATATATAATGGTATTATAGGGAATTTTATTTGCCATTAATAAATATAATGCATGATAATGTGATCGATTCGAGCAACAAGAAAATCTATTAGTTAAGACAGCAACATGAGACATAAAATAGTAATATCATGATAGTAATGCATTCAATTTTTGACAACAAAGCTTTACCTGATAAATCTGAACGTAATGAAGTTTGTTCACTATCCGTCTCATGAATTCCATCAGATGGTTGTAGATTGAAACTTGCATTCTCATTCGATTCATTAATCAAGACTACATGTGACTCTAGTCTTGGATTATCCGTTTCTCCTACATTAAGCCATGTATCGCTACAGATATCATATCGAATGATGGATTTTTCAAAATTCAATGTAGGAATATCTAATTCAGTTACTGGGTTGAATGCTGACAATCGCGAGGAAACATAATTCCGCCTGTTTGACGAAGGGTTAGTTTCTTGTAAATGATTCATAATTACACGATCTGATGAATGATGTCGATGATTAGAGTTTATAGACATTGTTACACCACCGAATACAAAAATATACCGGCTACCAACAGAAACAGAAAAATGCCGAGCCCTCGCCTGCGGCATACATTTGCGTTGACTCCATGAAGATCGAACAGGTGAATACGCATACACTGAATCCATGAGTGTACCGGCCTATGGGAAGAAACAAACTGATTTAATAGGCTATGAAGTACATCTGGTGTATGGTGGCTAACCAAACTATATGACTGCTTAACCGTTGGTAGATAGAACGGGATTTAAACCTGTAAAAGTCGCGTCTAAAATACCAAATCAAAGTTACATAAAAGATAAAGTGATGAATATCAGTTATCACTATAGATAACAATGAGAGAGAAACTGGAAGATAGTAATTATTAGACTACACTACAAAAGTTATGTAAATTTATAGAATTTTGCTTGATAAAAAGCGAAATAATTATATAAATTAGTCAGTCGGTGGTAGCTGATACAGGATTGTCCTCAATCGCTAATGAGCTTTACTAACGACTCAGGAGTGAACGTTACAGGAAGACAATGTGAATGTTCTCGAGACCGCAGGAAAACTTGTTTATGAATAAAAATTCATCTAGAACTCGGACCTAAAACAACATCCTAGTGGTTGCTTGCAATCATTAAGAAAAAATCAAAATATATAAAAACACTAAATCTTTTCAAATAATATTCTAGCTTGGTGACTATTTTAAAAAATTCAAATAGAAAACTCACTTTAATTCCACCAATAACAAATAGAGTATTTGCAATGACAGACACAGAGAACCACGCTAAACTATCCACGGGCATAGAAGGACAAGTATGCCATACTGTTCTAGATGGTGAAAATGACTGCATACAATTTAAAATGCATGTATTGAGACCACCTAAAACAACTAACGTAGGATGTTTCAGTGTAGCTAGGCGAGCTGGTAAATTGTTGACATACATTGATGGATTATCATCACCGTTATAAGCGTTGTGAAGAAAATATCTGATGATATTCTGAGCAATTTTGCATTCCTAAAATAATTCATTTAAAAGTTTGATTACTTTTCTCCAAAAATTTACAATCGCTTAATAAATCAAAACTATTCTAGGCAATCATCAACATGTTTTTCAGAACATTTCTGAGAAGAGTAGCAACATGAAATATTCAGACAAAAAGGACCGTGATAAGGATTGTAAATATATGGAGTAGCATAATCTGGTAGAATCCAAATACACATAAATTTATATTAAGTACAGACAGGTACTGCTTTGATCCACATAACTTAACACCATATTCCATGACTAAACCAGATAAGCTGAGGTTTTAGTTTACACTTCAAACTATATAATTATGAGAATTGTTAAACAAACGGGCGATTAAATCTAGAGATTCTAGTCACTTCGCCTTGGAAACTGCCACTTGTTTTTCTAGAAAACTTATTTGTAATCAAAATTAACGCTAGTTTCATTAGTGAGTGATACTTGTCAGCATTCCAATTCTAAATATTTTTGCATTTTGAATATTATACAGCCCCCTAGACTTAGTGTATCTGCGTTCGTGTGGCCTTTTTAAATAAAAACTAGTTCGCTTATAAGGTTATATGCTTAAAATTGTAATCGAGTCAAAATATGCACAAGAAAATGAGTCTCAACTGTACACTTAATAAAATAGGGATATCTAAACATTCTAATATATATTGCAGTCTGTAAAAAGTTTATAAAACTATATTTGAAGATGTACTGAGTTTTATTAGGTTTATATACCAATAAGAATTATGTGGTGTATTCTTTAAAACTTGTATATATTTACACCAAGATATAAATTTATACCAAAGCTTATACACTACGAAACGAACAAGTATAATGGACATCCAAAAGTGAAAGGTGACTGATGAATGTAATCAGTGACCTAATTGTATATTTCACCATTAACAAAATTGGTGTGAATGAAAATTATGCAGAGAAAAATCCGTATAAATTTAAATAATGTCTGTGTGCAAAACAATCATTCACTGTAAGTGGAATAAAAGAAAAGGGGAAATAAGGTCATTTATATTAGTCACTCGAATGATCAATAAACAGACAAACTAAATCTATGTACTTTTTTCGCTCTTGAAATTCAACATTGAATTGACCAATCATTTTTGACATACGGGTTTTATTGGTAGATAAATATTAAAAATGTAGGACTTGGTACAAATTAGTATCAACCTGAGTTGTTATACACTACACATCAACATAACTGATAGAAGTCAACAAGAGGAAAAGTAAAGAGATGGACAGTGATACCAAGCCCTAAAGTAAGTTTAGAAGCAAGAATTGAACATTCATAAGTTTTAAAAAGACTGATAAAATGTGAGAAGAAAAAGAATTAGACAAATGTAAATTTTAGGATTAGAAAGAGATAAACGATGGGTCAGAACCATCGTGATCAATTTCCAACTGTATCGCCTAAATTATTCATATATAGAATACAGTTATCTCATAGGCGTGGATCAGTCAATCAGCCTTGATCTCGACTGTATTTTCATCTTCATTGTACATTTAACGACTAGAACTGAAACACAGTAACCTGCACTTCTCCATATTTGGAACTCATTGATATATATATGTACCTATAACGCGGTGAGTGATTGTATTCTCATTGAGATTTGAACTAAGCACTCATTGTGTTAAATGAAAAAGGATTATCTACTAGGTTGAAATGAAAAACATTCATTAGTATGCAAAGACGTATGACTGATCACTTGAGATCAGGATGATGTGTGTAGCCCGAACTCCAATATTAGCATAACTACATATGCAAACTTGTGTCACAATTTACTTTATCAATAATACGAGGTGGGAATGAGGACTTTAAGCCAAAAAGATGAAAAAATATATTTATTACTATAAACATACATATTAAAAACTTAACATCCCAGTATGAAATGATAGAACATTACAGAGGAATAAGTCCGCTTTATATACTTTTTCTTATGAATTTATGTATAAATCGGATATACACAAGCTAGATAGCCCAAGATAACCAACAGTCGCTACTGGAAGACATCAAATGATTAAATTATGACTTTGAAAAAATTCAGTTGGTCGTACAGTTTTACTTTTTCTCAGAGCAGCAAAAGTGTTATTTGGGTTTGTTCGGATTCTTTGAAACATTCATTAGAGGATAAAAACCCACTATGTTTTAATAATAAATCCGAATCTGCAAATTACAGGAGGTTGGCAGTATGACAAGATTGACTGTGAGAGCAGTGAAGTAAAATGGATTTCTTCTCAGTGGTTTAACGTTATACTGTCTACAAACGAAAATTAAGGTCCTGATCTTAATTCCGGAATCCAACAATTGAGCAATACTAAGTTCTAAAGAATAGCATAGCAGTCGACTAATAGTCTCTAGTTTTCTTGAGCTCGTTAGTTATTTAGCTTCCTTTTCAAAAGAAAAAAATCTTTGAGTATATAGATGACATTCTGCTTTGTGAACTCAATTATATACATCATTCACTGTATATAAGTAAAGTATTCTTACAATAATTAAAGGATTTTCTTGTAATTGAATTTCCAACATTTCTTTTTCCAAATATTTCAAACGAATATGTGACAGTAGTTGAGGGAGGTAGACAATTCGTGTTTCAGAAGACTGGTCGACCCAATTAATACAAGCATCCCATACAAACTAAAATACGATTCAAGAAGATCTGAATGAAAACGCTTGAATATATAAAAGTAATAGCAATTATAACAGTATTTCTATGGAATAAATGGACTGCGGGTAGCAGCTAACTCCAGGATCCACATTTCGTCCTATTTAGGACTCATTAGCTGAGTGTACGTGCATCCCAGTATTGATATTTCAACTGAGACCCGAATGTAGTAAATTTCGCTTCAGACACCAACGTGCTGTCCACTGAGCTACTGAGTTTAGATATCCACTAACTTGTTCAACGGGTATGATGCTTATATCATCACATAGTAATATTCAGGGCTGAGATGTGATGCACATACACCAACAAAGACTGATCGAAATTCAACCCAGAATATCAAAAACAGGATAATTCGAAGCTTTTCTGGTAATGGTAGGTTAGAATTTACATTACCAAGTCTGACAGATAATTCCCATTTAAACATTAAAATTAAAACACGAACTTCAGCGAAGGGATCTCTTTTCAACGAATTTATTATCAAGCTGTACAATCGTATATATATGAAAATTTTTTGTTTTTGTAAAAGTACTGATTCCGTGAGGAAATGTGAACACAGTTACCAAGTCTATTTTCCCGAATATTCAAGAAATACATTGTTAATTTGATATGTAATTCTAAAAGATTGGTTAGTTTACGGCCACTTTACATTAAAGAACAACTATTAACAAATGTTATTCTTCTCTGACTGGACACTTAAGATTTATTAGTAGTATCCAATCTTGACACCTTAAAGAATAGTTCACATTGGCTCCAGGTCATAGGATAAGAATCGGCATTGGTTTATAAAGACTAATTTAGCTTTCTACAATTGATAACAATGAATAACAATCCTTCAAAGTCATTAATTGGTTTTATTTACCAAAAAATCATTAGGCTTTGTAAATTACGGGTTTCCTATTGAAAATTCGATAAATTAAGCAACAAATACGAAGATGTGCATTCGGTCAATCCAGTTTTATGATTATTACAACTTAATTCCAGATATTATCTTTATCCATTTAAGGTAAGTGAAGAAAACCTCCGAAAAAAATCCAGCGGAGTAGATAAAAACTCTAAGAATATCAAACTGTTGTGTTTGTTAAACCATTGGGTAGAGTCGCATTTAAGTTTGTTGTACTTAAAAATTGTGAACAAGGATAATTAGCAATGTACAATAATTTTTAAAAGATAAAAGATATATTGGTAGTTACATATCTCTAATATCTCTCAATTGATAAAATGTTATTCCTATGAAAGGTCGTATTTAAATATTTACTCTAACTAACAACAATCGTAGGACTCACTTGTTCCGAAGGTACATCCAAGTCATCTGAAGAGATATATGAAATGACAGTCGAAATAGGCAAACTGGTCCATTCGTTAGATTCTCTTAGTAAGCTGTTATCATAAACACAGGAAATAAGAACTTTAGCATAATAAACAATAATGCTGAGTTTCTTTAGTACAATTTGCATACTTGTCATAGTAGTATTGACTAGACATGTACATGTGCACAAATCTATGAGCATCACCAGCTAGAAATCTAATATTTCAAAACACCGATGAAATGCTGTCCTTTTTCCTGATTCTTGCTTTCACATCTGCATTAGACCCTCTTTACCGATGATACAGCCCAGGTACGTAAGTTTTAACTGCTTCCAGAGATTCTCCATTAAGTGATTTAGTTGAATTTTAGTACCTTGCTTTTTCCCTTGTGAATGTTGAGACCTACTACTGCAGATGCTCCTGCTACACTAGTTGTCTTCACCTGCCGTGTATGGGATAGAAGAGCTAGACCAGTTGCGGAGGTTACATCCAAGATGTTCATTGTATTCCATGCTTCTCTTGAGCTTTGATCTTTATAATTTAGTCAATAACCAGGAGAAAGAGAAAAGGAAATAGTAAGCAGCCTTGTCTGACACTGGTCTTCACTTGAAATATATCTGTTATCTGCCGTTCATACACGATTTTGCAGTGTAGTTCATTGTAGGAATTCCGCATGATTATGATACTTTATGCATAAGAACATGTCGAAGAAGGGTCAATAAGGTCCTCCCACCCACACTGTCAAATGTTTCCTCATAGTCAAGAAAGTTTATGCATAGTGATTAATTATATTTCATTTATTGTTCAACAACGATCCACAGAGTCGCGATTTGGTCAGTAAAGCATCGACTCTTACGACAGCCAGATTGTTGGTTCTCAAGTTTAGGATCTACTGAATCTTTCATCTGGTTTGACAACATTCTTAAAAACGTTTCTTGGCAATTATAGCAGTGTTGCCATCGTAGTTCTCGCACTTACAAACATTTCCTTTGTTCAGCATCTTGATAAGGTATCATCCATTCCAGTCTATTGGTACTTATCCTTTCTTCCACAGCTTTTGAAGAGAATGTGGGACATTTTTGTAGTTACCTCTACATCTGACTTCAGTGTTTCGGCTGGTATGCTGTCTAGTCTTGCTGCTTTGCCATTCTTGACTTGCCTGATGACCATCCCGATTTCTTCAGTTGCTGATACGGTTACATCTATGGGAAGTTTTGTAGGTGCTTCTTCGATGGGTGAGTGGGGCTAATTTACTCAAGAATTCTTCAGAGCGTTCCACCTACCTGTTCAGCTGTTCTTGAATCTCAGTGATTGATTTGTCTTCTTTGTTCATGACTGGTCACTCTGGTTTACTACATTTCCATACTAGTCTCTTCGTTGTGTCATATAGTTGTTTCACATTTCCCTCTCTTGCAGCTTTTTCCACTGTCACTATTAGGTCTTCCATGTATTTCTGCTTGTCGGTTTTCATGCTCCACATTACTTGCTTGCTTGCTTCCGTGTATTCAGCTCGTGCCTTAACATTCCCCGTTCTTGTTTGGCTATTGTTAATTGCCGTCTTTGTGTTCTTCCTTTCTTGAATCTCGCACAGGGCTTCCACAGAGATCCATTCCCTATGATGATTTCTCTTGCGACCCAGAACCTTCTCATGCGTTAAAGTGCTTTCTTAATCCCCTTCCAGTTGTTCGCCATATTAGTTTCCTCTTCTTTAAGTAGATTTTGTAAGGCTTGGAACCTGTTGATAAGAGCCATCTTGAACTCGTTGGGTTTGTCAATATCTCGACGGAAAGCTGTATTAAACTTTCGTGGTTTTGCCCACCTAATTGTCTAACGCTTCATTAGCTTTATTTTCATCCGGATCACTACTAGGTGATCTGAAGCTATATTAGCTCCTTTATTTATTTTTACGTTTTCCATGAACCTTTCGAACTTTTCATTGATGAGAATTCGATCAATCTGGTTCTCTGTGGTATCGTCCAATGAAATCTATGTAGCTTAGTATATGCGTCTGTGGGGAAATATGGTGCCATTTATAACTATTTTGTTGGAGGTAGATAACTCTGCAAATCCCTGACTATTTCGTTAATTTCTTCCAATTCATGTCGTCCCATGATATCCTCATACTCACTGTTGTCCCTTCCAATCTTGATATCTAGGTCTCCTGTCAGAACGGTCAGGTCATATTCGAGGGATTTCTCCACAATCGACTGCAGCCCCTCATAAAACTAATCTTTATCGTTTCCACTGTTGTCATTAGTGAACCCATAGCACTGAATGACATTCATTGTAATCCCCTTCTTGTTTTGGAGGGTGCTTTGGTGATACTGGATCCATGAGAGTACGATCCTACAAGTGCTTTTCGTACTTCTTTGAACAGCATCAGGGCAATTCCTTGTGTGGGCTGTTTCTTTTTCACCACCAGAGTAAAATAGCACCTCCACCAGAAGCTTATCTTTACTGTTTAGCTTGCTCCCCATGGGGTTCACTTATTTCAAGCACTGCCAGGTTGTATACTCTCATTTTCCCAACTGCCTAACGATAATTCCGGTCTCCCACACTGTATGAACACTCCATGTGTCTATATTAATTATTGCTTTGGTTGTTAGAAAGAGCATCGGCTTTGTGATTTTCGAATAATTTCAGCTTTTATCATGAGGCGTCATAACTCTTATAAATGGAGACCTTTCAAGTTGCGGCGCATAGTCTAAATGAATAAAATGAATTTTTCCGGGCAGCGTCTTTTTTTAGCAAAGTTCTTTTCACAGAATGTCATTACTAACCGCATGTTCAACCGTCTTCCTTTATCCGGACTTGGGAGCGGCAGTAACCTTAAAAAGACTGTAAGGGTTGTTTTATTATTACAAGAGTTAATAAACCAACAGTAACCATTCTTGCAGAAGAATATAAATTCAATAAACGAAATTATATATATATATATGCCTACTTCGCTAATAAAAAAAAAACTTTAGAACCTGAAAGTAGATCTCGAACTTGTTTTAATCAGTATTTGTCAATTGTCGGTTGGTCGTTTGTTTAAGTTTTATAATATAATTGTGATTGATTTTAGGTTGGGTCTACGGTAATTTGAGAATCTTTTAATGCTAACAAGACTAATGAGAACTTGACAGACTGGACGTCTAAGAAAAACACTCCAACGTTAATAATCCACACACCAAATAGAGAAGGGACGTTTTAGGACAACTTTATCTTTCGAACCAAAGATCGAAAATTTGGCAACTCCGTTTACAAAGTAACACCCATTGACGTTGGGATGCATAAGACAACTAGCAGACTGTAATTAAAAACAACTAATCTGATAACAGTGTAGATCACTACTGAAATATAATTTAGAAAAATGCCATCGAGATTATTCTTTAAGAAAAAAAGATAACATGTAAGTAATCTGAGTTCTCCTTAGCAGTTTATACTGGCGAATTGGTAATATATTAATGGGTTCGACGATTTCGTCTGCAGGCGCTCTCCGTAATCTGAATGGATTTTTTTATAACTTGCATGAAATTTATGCATCAATGTTAGACACTTTTCTTGTTGTAAATGTCTAGTAAGTAAACGATAATGTGTAATTTTAGATTACAATTCTAATATCTAACATTTTTTAATTCCTAAGATGACAGAAATACCTCGAGTAGAACAACTTGAATCGACCCAGAATTTTTCTTACGATAATCACATTCAGTCAACTAAAGGTGAGGAGGATGTATTCAAGCCTTCATCACCGATCCACATAACGATGAAGACTGGGGGGACCGTCTATGATGAATCAAATTATAACACACTGGATTCTATTGATTTAAACGATTTGGATGGGTCTGTAGCTTTGGATTACGTCTATCATATTAACTGTCAGCATCCAAGGTACCATTGTCTTAATTACATCTATTGATTTTTTAGCTGAACTAAACTGTTCACCATCTGATTACTGTTATTTCGCATAAATAAGTTCGTGTTATTCAGAAGTAGAAAGAAAAGTAACTTGTTTAAAGCATCGTAACTATTTGTAAATTTTGTGAAGCTTTTTAAGACGCTTTTCCCAAATGTTTAATTACATCAGGATCAGTGGTCATATGTAGACAATAAAAACCAACTTGTCCTGTCAAATGAGAGTGATTTCCCTCTATTTTCGTGTTAAAGTAACTAGAGGTTCTTTATTTAATTAGATTTTTGGTTTATTTAGCAAGAGTAATTAATTCTGGAACCCTAGAAGGGCTCTAGGCCGAACAAATCTATTAAAAATAACCTGTTCGGTTTAAGGTTATGATTATCTACATGAATAAATACATGGAGCAATTGAGAATTCGATGATGCTTAATAGATGTGGAACAAGAATTAGTCTTTTAGGTTTAGGAAATGTACCAATTGATCCGAATCCTTTGTTTTCTTAACATCATTGTCATTATGATAAATGAATTATTATCATGTATTCTCTACACAAATAAAATAAAACTACTAAAAGGGAGTTTTTACCAACTTTAAAATTTCCGAGAACATTGATGATCGTGGTAAAATTGGCAAAAAAAATTGATCAGCAGAATTTGTGGTATTTCATTTGACATAGGGATGTAAAAGTCAATGAATGTATTCAACAATTTACATATTCGAAAATACCAAACAATAGTAATGTACTATTCCATTATGTAAATTCAATATTGAACGAAAACGAACTAGATTAATAGATTTCAATTATTTTATCATTAGTTGCGTGGACTCAGTACATATTTTTCAACATCATAAAGTACGATATACGGAAGTGATAAGTATGACTTCAAGGAATGTATATGAATTATCTCATGAAATTCACGATGTGAATTATATAAGACGAATGGAGCATGTGTTGCGCGTACCGGACACTTGCTTGTGTTAACCTCCAATTTTAAATAACAGGATAAATGTGGTAGAATTTCTAAAACGGTCACACTGATCGATAACACTAATTAGTGAAACCATGAACCATTTATTATTTGAATACATAAACATTGGTAAAGTCAGTCAGTGACAACGTGGGACTTCATACGTACGTACATCAGTTCGAGTTGCCATACCACATTAGCATAGAGATGCAGTTGTCGATTCAAATCCCGTAGTGGTAGAGGTAGTAAGAATATAAACAGTAATTGGAAAGATTAGGGTTTGGAGATGTTATTTAAAGAGTATAATACAGTGAAATAAATTTCGGAAGAGAAAAAAAAAGAGGATTCAGATTAGAATTTGGGAGAACACAAAGAGTAGATGCACCTGCGCCATTGCAGACAACTCTGAACCATGTCATTCGGGGTATCTAACCATTGGTTGCTATTATCTCGCGGATCCCAACCAGGTAGTCTACACCTACTAACATAGCTTATTCCACTTATCAGTGACTTCATGGATTTGTGCCATGTTGTGGTCTGGCCACCCCTAGCTTTCTTCCAACCTACTCCTACACCATTGAACATCGCACGTCGGGGCAGTCGGTGGTTGGGCATACGTAACACGTGTCCCAGCCATCCCAACCAACTGATGAAGTTTCACTACTTCATCAATTGATTTGCCATCCTTACCTAGTACCCGTTTCCTAACAACTGAGTTACTTACTCGATGGTCCCAGGATATACGAGCAATATTTCGAAGACACCTATGATCAAATACTAGTAACCTACGGATATCCTCTACTCTTACCGGCCATGTTTCACTGCCATAAAGTAGGACGGAACGAACTGCTGCGCAGTAAACCCGTCCTTTGGTTGGTAGACGGATATCTTGCATTGTTGCTTATGGTGGTCAGAAGACTGCATTTTGTCAGCGTGTTCACCAAATAGAACTATATCATCGGCATATTCTAAGTCCTCTTTTCGGCGAATTCATTTTCAAAGCTGTACAATCGCAAATATATATATTTATTTTTCACCCTGTAAAAATAAGCATATATATTTGCGATTGTACAGATTTGAAAATGAATTCGCCGAAAAAAGAGAACTCTTCGCTGAAATAATCTTTCTTTTTTAATGTCATAATGAGTGTATTCCGTTTATATTCTAAGTCAACAAGTGAATCTCCCCGTAAAAGTTCAACTCCTGGAAATTTAGATGAGGAAAGTGTTATCTCTAAAAGTACTTCAATGACACAGTTAAACAAGAATGGAGAGAGTGAACAGCCCTGACGAACACCACTTGAGGTAATCAATTCTGATGACAGTTCGCCATAAGCTCTCACTCTACCAGTTGTGTTTGAGCAGAGAGCCTTTATAAGGTTAATGTACTTCTTTGGTACTCCTTTCAGTGACAAACACTGCCATAGAACCTCACGATCAATAGAGTCAAATGATGCCTTAAGGTTGAGAAATACTACCATTGTGGGGCGTCTGAATGTGTCTATGTTCTAGGACCTGACGTAGTGTGAATATCTGGTCTATATAACCACGTCCAGGTCGAAAACCGACCTGGTTTTCTCTAGTTTGCTCTTCACGAGCTTTAGTTAGGCGTCGAAGTACCATTGAAGCTAATATTTTAGACACTATATTAGTCAAACTGATTCCTCTGTGATTGTCACAATCAGTGATTGAGACCAGTCAGATGGGATTACGTCCAGTTCCCAGAGTCTACCTAAGACCTCAGTTAATCTCACTGCTAATACTGGACCACCATCCTTAAAAATCTCAGGGGTAAACCTGTCAGGGCCTGCTGCTCTCCCACGCTTCAGATTTCCTACAGCTTTTTCAACTTCGTAAAGAGTTGGAGGACCTACTTTAACTTGTCATTCAGGTTGACTGGAAATCGTGAAAACCCGAAGTGTGGCTGAAGGCCAGTTGAACTGATTTCTAAAATGTTCTGCCCATCGATCCAATCTCCTGGATTGTCAGTCAGTCAGTCAGCTACAACGTAGGACCAGGCACATATGTGCATCGGTCCAGGTTGCCATACCTCATTAGCACAGCAAGATGAACAGCGGATTCATAGGAGTGGTTAGGTCAAAGGTTGCAATAAGGATATAGTATAGGAAGAAAGAATTAGTTCGTAGACAGAAAGAATGAAGTGATTTTAGTCTCTTAGTTTAAAAGAAGACAGGGAGTGTATACACCGACACCATTGTGATCGATTCTGAGCCATGTCACCAAGAGTCTCCAACCATTGGTTACGAAAGTCACGCGGACCCCAACCAAGTAGTCTGCATCTACCAACATGGCTCAGACTAGAAGTTAGTGACTTCAAGCACTGATGCCATGTTTTGGTTTGGCCGCCCCTAACTTTCTTCCAATCATCTCCAATACCGGATAGCATTGCACGTCGTGGTAGTCGGTGTTCAGGCATACGTAATACGTGGCCCAACCATCTCAGTCGATGAAGATTCATAACCTCTTCAACTGATTTACCATCATTCCCTAATACCCTGCGTCTAACCTCACTATTACTTACCCGGTGATCCCAGCAGATGCCAGCAATATTTCTAAGGCATCTGTGGTCAAATACTAGTAACTTACGGGTGTCTTCTACTCTTAAGGGCCATGTTTCGCTGCCGTAAAGTAAAACAGAACGAACTGCCGCGCAGTATACTCGTCCTTTTATTGATAGACGGATATCTCGCCTTCGCCAAAGATGACGTAAGTTGGCAAAAGCCAAACGAGCTTTTCGAATCCGTGCTGAGATTTCGTCAGACACCAACCCATTAGGGCTAATCAGACTTCCAAGAAAAGTGAAGTTGTCAACGCGTCCAACTACTTCACTCCCTATCCTTAGTTCAGGTGTTGACTCAGACCAGTCCTGAAGCAACAACTTGCATTTAGAGGGAGAGAAGCGCATACCAAACATTCTGGCATTGTTGCTTAGTGCTGCCAGAAGACTCATTCATAATCTCCTGGATTGAGAATGAATAATATGTCCGTCTTTCTCTGAGATTGTTTCGCTAACAGTCGGGTTCCTAATACCGGTTTCCTTAACAAGTCTGAACAGTTGTCTGCTGTTGTCTATTGCCTCTGCCTTTTCCATCTCTTGCTTTCGCTACCCACCACTGTTCGCGATCGTTGCGTAGCCTCCTTATCAGCCTACGCTTAAGCTGACTCCGCTTTTCGTTATGTTCAGATCCAGATGGAATGAGTTTTCGGGCATCTATCAGTGCGGTAAGTGCTGCTGAGATCCAGGGTTGCTCCCTAACCTTGTGGTTTATCGTACTAGCAGACATCACTGCTGTTTCCACAGCTTTCCGGATATCATTCCACACTACCTCGGGGTGGGCATCACATACATGGCTGCCTAACTTTTTTCCTAGTTGTTCCTGAAATATACTCTTAGCTTGAATATCATTAAAATATGACCCTAAGAGGTTTCCCTGCAGCATCTTTCTTACATCGAGTAAGACGCAAACAAATACGCACTCGCATTAGAGCATGATCTGAATCTGAGCATGTGCTCCAGAATAAGCGAGTCTTCTATCGAGCCCCTTCATCGGTGGCTGATAGCGATGTGATCTATTTGGGTCCAACGTTGGGACGAATTAGGGGGTCGCCATGTTAAAAGATGTTTTTCCTTATGCTTAAAGTTAGTATTTGCAAGGAACAGGCGGTTATCCGAGCATAGCTGCAACAGACGGTCGCCATTATCTGTTCTTTGAGCCACGACACCATAAGATCCACCTAGGTGTCTTTCCCTTTCGCCTAGTTTACCTACTTGAGCATTAAAGTCACCAGCCACTATTACTACATCAGAGAGTCTAGCTTTTCGAAGAAGGTCGGAAAGCTTTCTGTAAAACTCATCTTTTACATTATCTGAGCTGCAGTCAGTTGGAGAATAGGCAGAGACGACGAAGAGGCAACGACGAGTGTCCCTATCTTTTCGGATCCTTATTGTTCCGTTTAGTCGGACAGCGCACAAACGACTGTCTACTGGTAACCAATCTAAGAGAGCTAGTTCTGCCCTAGGGCTCAATGCTATACTCACGCCAGCGAGGCCACGGGAAATAGCATCAGGGTTTCCAGATACACGAAGCGTGAATCGAGTTGGTTCTTTATTTTTGGTATGGTCAAGTCAAATGAATGACGCTACTTGGATGCTGTATGCGCGTTTCGGAGACGCAGTACACATCGATGGTGCGAGATTCTAGAGTCCTAGCTAGGGAACCCTGTTGTCTTATTCGGCTGTGTTCGGACGTTAAAAGCAGTTACGGTCGGGGGGCACCAAATACATATGTGCCACACAATAACAGGTTGCAAAGAAATAGAGAACGTAAAGTGCGTATAATAAAGAGAAGAACAACAACAAACAGAAATTAGTGTATGAGAGTGAAATGATAATAATAATAATAATAATAATAATAATAATAATAATAATAATAATAATAATAATGGGGGAAACAGTTCAGTTAGCAAAAATACGACCAGGAATAATTCCTTCAACCAAAGAAGTTACGTTCACTTTTATGAAGAAAGAGATAGTTGCAGCAGGATCGCCATGGGCTTCTATTCTGAGCTACTGAGTAAGAGTAAAAACTCAAATCCAGTAAGCACTGAAAGTGCATTTTTTTCTGAAAATAACTACTCAATATTTCAGCGCAACATTTTAAAAAGACATATTAACACTACGAAATGCACGGAATCAAGCAAATGTTTTTTCCTACTTTGTACCCATTAGCGAGATCCAATCAGACCCTAACAGACGTTAAAGCATGTAAATGTACCCTTGCTTGAGAACAGCCTTAAACTAGTCAATAGATAGAAAAGTAAAAAAAAATGCTTTACCTTGAGAAATTTTCTACAGCCAATTTATGAGACGATTGAGCTAAATCAGCAATATTGTGCATTTCAGCCAATGCCTCGATACCTAAACAATTTGTAACATCTAAATGACTCTTCATGAATTCAACACAATATTTGATAGCTATTGGATAGTCAAGTAAACTAGCAGCAAGAAATATATCTTGTACAGTGGCTTCTGTAATTTCTAAGCAACCAAGATATGCAAAATCAAGCAAACGACGAAGAGCCCAAGGAGAAATATAATCTAACTTAACTCGAGATGTTTGTTGTTCTTTATATGGCGATGAAAACATGGCCTGCAGAAATGAATAGAAATGGAAGCTGTATTAGAATTTAAATACAACTGAATATATATACTGCATTTCAGAATATTCACAACATTGATTTTCATAATCACTATAAATTTACTGTTACTTTATTTTGAAATATGAATCAAGAAGGACAACAAAATATAGAAAAAAGGCCCCCAAATGCCCTGATATGGCCGAGAGCGGGGTGAGTCCGCTCTCCCTCTCGAAATACTCTCACACGGACACGCGTATACAGCCTCTTCCAGGGAAGTCCTACTCACTGCCTTCTCACACCACGGGTGTTGTTTACGAAAATGAGAGGACGAAAAGCGAATGTCTGGCGCTTTAACCGGATCCAAAACCGATGGTGCACATGGGTTCCAGTATCCTGAGGGAACAAATGGTGTGTGAACCAATCGTTGGTCACCGGCTACCATGGGACTGCATCTCCTTACGATGCTCCACTGCCTTGTGAATTAGGCCTTCAGGTCGAAAGCTCGGGGTGTGGCCCCTTAAGAAAACCACCTGCTTCGGTCTGGGCACCCGGGCAGTATCACAGCCCACGCACAATTATGATGAACTATCTATGTTTATGGAAAATACTATTATTGCTGCGATTAACAATCAAATGATTCACATTATTATTATTATTTACCACGTCACTTATCCACTCTCTTTTATTCCTACTCTGTGTATCCTTATTTTTCGACTTATACAGCAGCTCGCCTATGATGGAAAATCGGTTCTATCTAAACGTTCTCGAGTCACTGCCTGATTGAAAATTGTATGATACCACTAAATACGAATACTGAAGCAGTTTTTCTGAAACCACGTGCACCATTCAAACTGGCTGCCTTCAACGTTCGCACACTTATGCAGGTCGGACAACAGATAGGGCTGGTTATGTCTTTGGAAAGTCTTAATATCGACGTTTGTTGTCTAACCGAGACCCGTATTTAAGACTCTGGTGAAGTACTACAAATTAGCTCTCCATTTGTCACTTCAAAAAGATTGTTTTACGTGCGCTTATCCGGGGACCCTGTGGCATCTTCGTCTGGTCTTGCTGGAGTTGGTGTCGCACTAAGCGCTAGAGCTAAGGCAGCACTAATCGACTGGATCCCCATTAACAGTCGGTTATGTGCTGTTAGATTAGAAAGTCCCATCAAAGTGAGAAGAAATCGGCGTGAGAAACGATATCTTTTCGTCATGCAATCAAGGATAAATTCTACCACCAATTAACTGCTCTCCAGAAACTGCGTTTGACAGATATTGTAGTACTAGCCGGAGACTTGAATGCTCAGGTCGGGCGTCTAGGCACAGAAGAGAGTCGTTTAGGTGGCCGATGGGGACTTGTTGGTCGCAGGACAGATAACGGGGACCATCTACTGCAACTATGCACAGACCACAACCTGTTTCTGGCTAGCACTAACTTCCGGCACAGTCATCGCCGATGTGCCACCTGGCGTCCTCCCTCTGCATCTCAAGCCTGGACTCAGATTGATCACATCGCGATCAGCTACCGCTGGCGTGGTTGTGTGCAAGACTGCCGCTCCTTTTGGAGTACCTACCTGGACTCCGATCATGCCTTGGTCTGTGCCAATCTTACCTTATTTCTCAGTGGCCAACGAAGTGACCGCCACCAACGGATTGATGTTAGCAAGCTGGTTGCAACTTCTGTTGCAAATAAGTATCGAACTGAGCTAGCTTGTAGGCTAGCTACTATTCCACCGAAAAGTATAGATGAGCATTGGTTGCAATTGCATGACGCCATGAAAATGGCGGGAACAGTCAGTTGTGGGTTTGCGAAACGTCCCGCTTTTAAGCACTGGGTTTCTTCTGGTTCCTTACAACTCATTGAAGCCCGTCGGTCTACTCCGGGTGACCGTGAGTTTGACCACAAACGAAGGATGGTACGTAAGGAAATTGGGCAAAGCTTGCGTAAGGACCGACAAGCCTGGTGGTCGGAGCGTGCTAATGAGCTGGAGGCAGCAGCTGCATCTGGTAATTACCGGAAGCTCTTCCAGCTCATCCGAGCCACTGGCAGCAAGAAGTCTGGTGTGAGTGAAACAATCTGCGAGGACGATGGGATGCCAATCACTAACACCCATTGACGTCTTGGACGGTGGGCAGAATTTTTCGAAGGGCAGTTCAACTGTCCTGCTGCTCCGGCAACATCGGTCAAACTGTCCTGCCCTCCATGGCCGGTGACGACTGATCCACCAAATGAGGAGGAAGTCCGCAAGGAACTCCAACTCTTGAAGCGTTACAAATCACCTGGACCAGATGACTTACCTCTGGCTCTTTTTAAAGATGGTGGTGACTTTCTGACTAAGGAACTGACGACGTTGTTTACAAAGGTTTGGGAGCTAGAGAGTGTGCCAACGTCATGGAATGAGTCGATAGTTATCCCTATCTTTAAAAAGGGTTCACGTCGTTCCTGTAACAACTATCGAGGGATAAGGCTACTTCCGATTGCGTCCAAGCTATTGGCTTCCGTCATACTTCGTAGGTTGTTCAAAACCCGAGAAAGATTGACTCGCGAGGAGCAGGCTGGGTTTCGTTCTGGTCGAGGGTGTATTGATCATATCTTCACCCTCCGCCAAATGTTAGAACACCGTCATACTTATCAAAGGCCAACAATCGTAGTGTTTCTTGACATCAGGGCTGCCTTCGATTCTTTGGACAGGACTGTTATCTGGGATTGTCTATTGAAGAAGGGTGTGCCTGAGAAGTTTATTAACATCTTAAAAGCTTCATATACAAACACCTCAGGTAGAGTGAAGGCATACAACCACCTCTCTCCATTGTTCCATTCGAGCAGTGGGGTTAGGCAAAGTTGCTCAATCTCACCATTCCTCTTCAACTTTGCCATCGATGACATTTTGGAAACAGCTCTGATGGATGTAAGTAATGGTGGTGTGAATCTGTTGCCTGGAGAAAGACTTTCTGACCTTGACCATCCTGATGATATTGTCTTACTGTGTGATGATATCCATGCCATGCAATCCGCACTTAATCAGTTGGCAATCAATGTCCGCAAGTATGGTATGAGCTCTGCACCTTCGAAGTGCAAAGTACTCCTACAGGACTGGCAGGATTCTAATTCTGTACTCACTCTGAATGGTGAGCAGATAGACGTAGTCGAGAAGTTCGTGTATCTAGGTAGCTGCATAAGTTCTGGTGGTGGTGTAAGTGATGAGATCAATGCACGTATAGTGAAAGCCGGAGAGGCTTATGCTAATCTGGGCCATTTTTGGCTCCTTCGTGATGTTAGTCTAGCTGTAAAAGGTCGGATCTACAACGCGTCGGTGAGAGCAGTTTTGCTCTATGCTTGTGAAACCTGGCCTCTCCAAGTTGAGGACGTTAGACGACTCTCTGTGTTCGATCATCGTTGTCTCCGAAGGATTACTGACATCCAGTGGCAACACCATGTTAGTAATGCAGAGGTTCGGCATCGTGTGTTCGGGCACAGAGACGATAATTCAATTGGTGTCACCATCTTAAAACACCGACTTCGGTGGCTTGGACATGTTCTACGAATGTCGTCCCAGAGGATTCCACGTCGTGCATTATTTGCCGACGCTGGGACTGGTTGAAAAATGCGGAGAGGTGGTCAGTGTATGAAAGAACTCTGTAATGGGCTGGCTTGTGTTGGTCCTTCGCGACTCCCTGGCTGGGGTCCGAGAGATGGTGCGACACAGTGGCTAGAGACGTTGTCAGATATGGCCCAGAATAAAAGCCGATGGTGATCCTGCTGTAACCTTTTACTTTCTTCATAAGAAGTGGTTACTTCTTCCTTAACTGAAAGAATTCTTCTGATTGTACCTTTTCGTTTCCACCATTATTATTATTACACTACCTTACCTTATTCTGTTAGTTATTGCTTTTTTTAAAGCTCCTCACCTTTTTTCCCTCTTCTCTTCAAATTCCCATTATTTCGTGTGGCGCATGTATATTTAGTGCCCTCTTGTAACAATATTTATATGTTCAAATAAATTGAAAAAATTCAACGGTGGTTTATTGAGAGAGTAACAATTCATCCAATAAAGCAGCCTAGTCTATAAAACCATATTGGAAAATATATCACAATAATGATGAATCGAAGGTACCAAATGGAAAAACTCGCAGTTGTCGAAATTTCATTTTACTGAGACATGGAGCTGCTGATGTTACGGCAGGTGGACCTAAGTACATTAATTTGTACGCAAATGTTGAAGCCCTTGACACAATCATGATCAATCAAAAAACTTGAATAACCAACACAAATGAAACAGGAGTCGAGTCATACAATCAACTAATTTTCTAAATCGAAAACCTCGAAACTTACTAAGAAATATGTTGAACTAGCAGCTAGTACTGCCTTGTGGCAAGGGAGTTCTTCATCACCAGCACATAATATAACATCAGTGAAGAGTGAACGATCTCGGAAAGACCGCAACGACTTCGTCATCTGAACAAGCTGTTCAGATATATTTTCCGATAGTCTCTCGAACTCCATCATTAGTATATAACCCACATTGAAAATCAAGTTGAATCATGCGAATTTACGAACACTAAAAGTTTATGAGGAGATATTAGCCAATTACATTTGCATTCAAATAAAATACAATAATAAACTGTCAATGGTTTGTACACGAATAGTGAAATCAACAAGGACAAAAAAGACAATCTAATCTACAGATCGTAATTGCTCAGTAGTACTAGGACCACACAAAAACAAGGTCGTCACACAAGACCTTTTCGTGTTAGCTCCGTACTTGTTGAGACTTTACCGCCGGAGACGGATATCCGTGGGATAAGGCAAGGTGTGCGTTTTTAGAGTCGATCTTTTCTAGCCCCACCCCCTCCTTGTGAGAAGGCAGCATCGCGGTCATGCTGGTTGTCTGAAGGAAACACCTTATTGCTGTCACACCTCTGTACAGTCAGCAGTACGACATCGCCTTCGGACCTTGGGTTTGTTGCTTTTAGTCTTACCGCTCTTCAACCGACCTGTCTGACATGGTAGGACCTTGAGGAACGGTTGTTCCAGCCAATATACGTCTCGAAACGTAAACTCAGTACATTAAATTGAAGCACACCAATCTAACCAATTAACGTGCTAGTCTACAAATTTCACTTGCGAATTTAAAAGAGAATTAAACAGCCAAAAATTCAGTCCATTTAATCTTCAGAATGATCAAAAGACAGACAAGCACACAATGACTGCTCTTTACCCTGAAGCTGGCAGCGCAACCTTGAACTTAGGTCATAGAATCCAATACCCAATATCTTTGAAACTAGTTTGTATACACACAAATTGATTTCTTCGCTCTCGCTTCATGTTGTTTCGGCACGGTTTCAGATATTATGTTTCCGTACTTTAAATGGGGACGAATATAACTGTTGAACATTATGTAGAAAGTTCGATCAAACAGCACTTTTGTCGCAAACTACTAACACTTATAGATCCTTTTCAACCTGAAATACCTCTATACGGGAGTTAACTAAGTTGTAGCTGTGATCTGCAACATGTCTCAGATGAACTACTTGACACTTTGAAGTCTTAAAGGAAGGTCCGTTGTCATCTGCTCAACTTTGAAGTCAAGTCAGATCCTCCTGAATTGCCAGCTTATCTTCTCGGTTGCATACTTCTCTCCGTGGTTTCACATTATCAGAGAAAAGTAATAGATCTGACGACACCTGCTGCGGAAGATCGTTTATGTAAATCAAGCAAAGAAGAGGTCCTAGTACTGAACCCTGACGGACCACAGTAAGACATTTTATAGCCTGAGAGAAAGAGAAGTTAACCCTGACATTCAAGTGTCGATTGTTTATGTATGAAGTGGGCCGATCAATTAAAGGTAATTCGATACCTAATTGTTTGAGCTTATTGATAAGACATATATGGTTGACCGTATCAAAAGCTTTCGAGAAGTCAAGGTAAATGACGTCAACCTTGCTCTTGCGATCAAGGATGGTTTTCCATCTGTCTACAGCGGCCAGCATGTTGGTTATACAAGACTTACCTTTTCTGAAACCGTGCTGTTGGGGTGAAAATAAGTTTATGGATAATAAATAGTCCCGTATACCGCCGCATATCAGGGACTCTATAATTTTTGAGGGTATAGGGAGAAGTGCTACCGGCTTTTACTATCACTTGGATGACCTCATCCTTTTGGGTGTCAAAACATGTGGTAGATCAGAATATTCATCCATTTAGGTGCTCTGTATTGCTCTCACTGAAGCAATGTGGGCACAATTCCGTCACCTCGGCTAGTTCGGTACCAGTGTCACGGCTTTGAAGCGACCCTTAGTATATATCACCACCCTACTTGTTTTGTATACTCCATAGTATCGTTAAAGTATGCCTTGCAAGCTCACTTCTTAACCCCTAATGTCAGGTGATAGTCGTGTTTCAGTTGGGGCTATGGTCTTCAGATCCGACCGGAAGGGTATGTTTCTGATTTCACCCAGTTTACCATTTAACTGTTTTGTGTTGCTGTAGAGTCATTTTATGGTTCTTATAGTCACTTGGTCCTACCCACACTACAGCACTATGTCATCTGGTTTTTAAAGGGGTTGTTGTTTCCGCGGGAACTGGCATCTGCAGGCTTTTTTACCAGTACACCACGTTGCTTAAGGGAGCTTAACGTTTGCTACATTTTGGCACTTATGCAGGTGGCATAGCTTGGCTGAGGCGATACCGTTTCCCAGCACTGAACCGTACTTGTCCTACTGTTCTTTATCAAAGCCTGTCCCACTTTTTAACAATCTATTCTACGACCCTGGTACACCCTATAAAATTGTGTAGTTTTGCCCATCATCTTTGTCTCAAACTGAACTCACTGCTGCTTGTTGTTAACAGATACTAATGAATTAGCAACGGTCGACAATTTTATTAGCATATGAGCTCGGGTTGTGGCTTCCATATTCGTGTGTCTGGTTGAGTGTGTGTCAGACGATTTAGATGTACTACAGGGGATTGATATAGTCGCTTACACGAGGTCTTATACTTTTCCTACGTTAGTTCCGCTAGGGGAATATTTTCCACACTGTGTGTGAACGTACCAGAAAATTGGCCCTCTGAACTTAGACCTCTACATCTACTAGTCGTCCCAGTAGTTATGGTGTAAGTACAGGTGGAAAACGCTTTTACGACGAACGCTACTCAAAAGACTAAGAAGTGAGATGGGAGACTATTTAGGGACGAAGTAGGTGAAACGAAAGTTGTTTTCGTAAGAAAATGTCTCATGTCTAAGGTATTTCACCAATATTTTACATCTTTGTGATTTCAGGTTTTTTCCCCGAAGACATGGTTAAATCCAAAACGTCTCTTTACGCTTTCAGTCACTTTTTGATTAAACCTTTCGAAATCGCAGACGTTATTACTAGACAAACCCTAATTGAAGAGGCTCGACCAAGGATTCGCATCAGGTCATCATTGGGTACGCCGTACTACTCAGTCCTCTTACCGAGTAACCGGCACGAACGATACACGTTTCGAGTATATCTTCGTACTCCTTCTTTCCTAACTTTTGATTTGACTGGATTGGTATATTTCGATCATAAAGTTGAAACGAGTGAAAGCGCCGCCAAACTTTGAATACCCGTGAAATCGTAAGTCCATAACGGCTTGGTTCATTTTTATGGTTTCTTTCCTTCTTCCTCGTCATCGAAAGAGACATTTATTAATAGAATCCGCTGTAACGAAGTTTTCTGCTTGTTCGTCGCCAAGAATACTATATGGTGCGTCAACATCAACAAAGGTGTTACGCACTCTCCAGTCTAATGCCACGTTTCTACTAAATGTTTTTGCTATTCGCCATCATCTGATTTGTAGTATGTTCTATCCTGAATGGCGCCTATTTATGTTCGTTAATCCATAGGGCTATGGAATAATATTATAAATTGTGCAATCAGCCCATTGATACTATTTGGACAATTGTTTATATCTGTCATAGAGCTTTTACAGTGACACGATTGGCTTGCTAATTTAGGAGCTTGAGTTCCAATAAATCAGTCAAAAATTATTGGTCACCTTCAATATCGACGACATGTATAGAATGGCATAATAATTTAAACATGGTTTAGTGTCATTTCCCTAACCCAACAGAACTAGTTATCGTGTATATGAAACTGCTAGTACACGTCTGTAATACGACTTGCCTGAGAAACTGTATAAGATAAAAATGATGGCGTACCGTAAAAATGTGAAGGATTTAATCTGAACTATGTAACGCCTGATTTGGCAAAATTATGTAAAATATCAATTTGTACTAAACTTATCCAAGGATTAGAGATATTATTAAGAAAAACAGTGGCTCTAAGGAAATAGCTATGACTCACAGGTGACTGACCTGAAAAACGTTCAACGGTTTTATCGAAAATGGGGCTCAAACATGAAGGACTTTGAATGCAATGCTAGGGCATGATAACGAAAAGACAACTACACAGACAAACTTCCTGCACTAATATGTGTAACGATTAACTTTGTAGATCTTTTTGTGAAGATGAACTAATCTTGTCTGTAGCTCTAACACTCTTGCAAGCCTCATAATTAATTAAACACTTAAGATATTCGTGTTCAGTTGGGCAAAAAGAAGATGCATCAGTAATGCCTTAAATTATGGTGACGCTAATTTATAAATTTAAATTACTGCAGTTTATGAACTTTTTCACTGTACAAAACTGCATGAATAAGGCAAATCAAATCAAATTCAGAGCATCAAAGTTAATCTTCCTTGAAAGTTATGCTAGTTTCTGAAGCACTTGCTCACTCAATAGACGGAAAACCGTCCAAAAATCCTTGGCAGTGCACGGATGCTGAATAATGAAAAACAAGTGCCACAAACTTAGAGCAACAAATACCGTCGCCCTGGATTAATGGAGGTGTTCTACTGGCAGTCAGAAGTGCACTGTCAAACAGAATATTCAATCAGTAGACTAATCTAGATATAAAATCACCCGGTTATAAATTCATAGCGTTTTACCGCCCTGTTTTATAAAGGGATTTTACATCCTATTTTCACTCACTTAATGCTGATAATTTAGGTGTGGAAGACTAAGGTCGTGTCCAAAATTTAGTTCAACAAAACGTTCGACCTCACAATGAACAGATGTATTCACTGACTCTAATGATATGGTGGGAACATAGATTCGGACCGAATGCTCTCCAACTTATTAGGCGCTTACACTTCTGAAGAGAAAGTTCTCAAACAAACGATACTAGACTTCAATTGTTGAGGATGTTGAATGGGCATATGGAGCATTGCCCACGTAACATCAGGAGGCTATTCTCGCTTTTAAATTAAACCTCATATTGTTTTCTTGCTTCATCATTGTATTTTTGCTTTTCCTTAATGATTGAATTGTCTTTCTTTTTCATTGATCTATGGAAGTCAAGATAGATGTTACGTCCTTGATCTGTCTATCCACTTTTGTACAGAGGATAACTAGATTAAGACCTTGACGCTTATTTGCTGACTGGCTTAACCTTGAGGCTTGTATGCATCAGTTTGAAGT